GATCTGTTCGAAGAGAAGACAGAATGACTTTCAATTGAAAGTGATGGTTGACAGCTTCATCGTCGCTTGACGATTTTCGATTGAAAGTGACTTTGTGGGGCCCTGCTGCTAACACTGGGATGCTACTGTACACACTTATAAAGAACTACTTTTACACGAAACGTACACACTTAGAAATAACTAATTTTACACGTGATGGAATCCATCTTTGACATAAAAGATGAGACGTAAACAAACATGTCATCAGGGTTACTTCCACTCACTTCGCTATAACAAATGTTTTTCGTAATTATGGAATTATTGGATGCTATTATGAAAGTTTGTACTTTCAGAAACAAGAAGAGGTTGAAAGGTATGTATTTGACACATAAAACCTGTCATTTTCGCTTTCAGTGCGTCACAATCAGCGAATTTATGACTCGTGAGCGTTCACTCAGAGTGAGCGCTCACGAATCGTAAAATCGCTTATTGTGACGCACTGAAAGCAATAATGACAGGTTTTATGTGTCAAACACCTAGTTTACAACCTTATCTTGTGACTTACAACTACTAACTATCATTATAATATCTAATGATTTCATAATTCCGAAAAACAATTTTTAGTGGAAGCAAGCCTGCATGTCATGCAATATTAAGTGTTTTGAGACTGAAAAGTTCGTTGCTCGACGAAAAGTACGTTTGATTGAGCTATATTTCGCGTCTCTTATGACTCAAATTTATGTCAAAATTGACGCTCTTATATGTCACTCTCAGAGCACCTAAATTTACATGAATTTTTCTAAGTGTGTAATTCATTTTGGACGTAAATCATGGAACGTAAACACACATTTCATGTAAAATTTAGTGTTCTCAATCCGAAACATAAGCAGTTTGATTGAATTGAATTCCTCGTTTCTTTCAACTGATTCTTATGTCAAAACGGCCGCTTACATGTGCCGGTCTCAAGGAACCGAAATTTATACGGCTTTTTCATAGTGTGTAGGTCTATTGCTGCTACTACTACCGTCGGTGAATATTTTAGGTCCAGTCCTTCCTGTTTTTGAGGTTGTAGCATTGCCCAAGTTGTATGATGATAATTCATCTTCCACTTGCCGGTTGGGTACTTAGTTTCGGCAAACGTCTGCCAGAATGACGCACGGTACAGATCTGTCTTCTCCTGGATGGACAGCTTCTGCCATCAGTCACCCTTCTCCTTCTCGCGGGGGGCTAAACTTTGAGTGCCACTCCCTTGAAGCGGATGACCGTCAACGAGCTCGTTGAATATTATCTTAGAATTAAGTTTCACAACTTTTAACGTAGCACTACGTCTGTGATTTCTATATGGGGGTACACTTTGTGAAAACCGAAAATGGAACATGTAACAAAATTAAGAAAGATTTTGAACATTAATAACTCAGCTGCCCCTGGAAGAATTTCAATAATTTTATCACCAATCGATCAGAAATATTTCTACGCAACAATAGCAATGCCTCCGACTGATGATTTTCAACAAGAAACAATTGAAAAGGTGGTAATGTCAAGCATTGTCCAATGCACAAATAAAGCGTGATAATTTTTAACTGATAACTGTTTTCATGAAATATACGTTCTTCCCAAACCCAGTCGTCATAATCGAGTACCACTTGGTTGCACATCATTCTGCTTTAACCTGAAAAAATATAAAAGGGCGCTGCTGTCTAGTCTCAACTTTTTTTTTTTTTTTTTTTTTTTAACTCTTTATTTGTTCCAAATTCAAAATAAATTACATTTCATTTTAACCTAGGTGCTCCAGTTACTGCAGTAACGTACCAGCCTTAATTGTTATGATATATATCTAAGTGTTTTTACATTGTTCATGTCTTGGCAATTCAGTATTTTAAACAGGTTTTTTAACCTGCATGTCAGTATAACAATTGATATCTTAAAACTAAAAACTAAAACTAAATCTTATCTAAGTATAAAGGGAATTAATCGTTGCAATTGAGGATTGCAACGATTTTTGCCTGAAATTATTCATTATTTTGTTGGACATTTGTGCTAAAGTCTCAACATTCGAAATTCTATGTACTTCGGTTGTACTGTACCAGGGAGGCAACTTCAAAATCATTTTCAGAATTTTGTTCTGAATCCTTTGAAGTGCTTTTTTCCTGGTAGTGCAGCAACTAGACCATATTGGTACAGCGTAAAGCATGGCCGGTCTAAAAACTTGTTTAAATATTAGAAGTTTATTCGTCAGGCAAAGTTTGGATTTCCTGTTTATAAGAGGATACAAACATTTAATATATTTGTTACATTTGGCTTGAATGCCCTCAATGTGATCTTTAAAAGTTAATTTTTGGTCAAGTATTAATCCAAGATATTTCACTTGGTTTGACCAGGAAATTGGAACTCCGTTCATAGTGACTATGTGACTACTACTAGGTTTCAAAAACGAAGCTCTAGGCTTATGTGGAAATATTATAAGTTGAGTTTTGGAAGCGTTGGGAGAAATCTTCCATTTTTGTAAATAAGAAGAGAAAATATCTATACTTTTCTGAAGTCTGCTGCAAATAACACGAAGACTTCTTCCTTTAGCGGAAATGCCTGTGTCATCAGCGAACAAAGATTTGTGGCAACCCTGAGGCAAATCAGGGAGGTCCGAAGTGAAAATGTTATACAATATAGGCCCAAGAATGCTACCCTGAGGAACTCCTGCCCTAACAGGTAGTCGATTAGATTTGGAATTTTGATAATTTACTTGAAGAGTTCTGTCAGTTAAATAATTTTGAACTAATTTCATAATATAAAGTGGAAAATTAAACTTTTTCAATTTAGCAATCAAACCTTCATGCCAAACACTGTCGAATGCTTTTTCTATGTCTAGAAGAGCAACTCCAGTTGAGTGGCCTTCAGATTTGTTTGAACGAATTAAATTGTTAACTCTTAAGAGTTGATGAGTAGTTGAATGCCCATGGCGAAATCCAAACTGCTCATCTGCAAAAATTGAGTTCGTATTGATGTGAAGCATCATTCTATTCAAAATTATCTTTTCAAAAAGTTTACTTATTGAAGAAAGCAAACTTATTGGACGGTAGCTAGAAGCTTCAGCTGGATTTTTATCCGGCTTCAAAATTGGAACAACTTTTGCATTTTTCCATTCATCAGGAAAGTATGCCAAATGGAAACATCTGTTAAATAATTTTACCAAGAAAGACAAGGTACTCTCTGGGAGTTTTTTGATGAGGATATAGAAAATTCCATCATCACCTGGAGCTTTCATATTTTGAAATTTTTTAGTTATAGACCTTACTTCGTCCAAATCAGTCCCCCAGGAATCATCAAAAATATTTTCCCGAGAGAAAATATTCAGAAAATCCCGAGCAACCTGATTCTCAATAGGACTAGTAAGACCCAAACTGAAATTATGGGAACTCTCGAATTGCTTAGCAAGTTTCTGAGCTTTTTCCAAATTTGTGATCAAAATTTTACCACCTTCTTTAAGCGCTGGAATAGGCTTTTGAGGTTTTTTCAAAATTTTTGTGAGTTTCCAAAAGGGTTTGGAACTCGGGTCTAATTTAGAAATATTATTTTCAAAAGTTTTGTTCCTCAGGGCAGAGAATCGCTTTTTAATTTGTTTTTGCAAATCCCGCCAGATAACTTTCATGGCAGGATCGCGTGTTCTTTGATATTGTCTCCTACGGACATTTTTAAGACGGATCAAGAGCTGAAGATCATCGTCTATTATAATTGAATCGAATTTAACCTCGCATTTTGGTACTGAGGCAGCTCTTGCTTCAACTATAGAAGTAGTCAGAGATTCAAGAGCATAATTAATTTCATCTTTGGTTTGCAAAGGAATGTTTGGATCGAAGTTATATTCCATAAATGTTCGATATTGCTCCCAATCAGCCCTATGGTAATTGAAAGTAGAGCTGTTGGGATTACAAATTATTTCTTGGGATATTTCAAAAGTTACTGGAAGGTGATCAGAACCGAAGTCAGCATGGGTAACCAATTGGCTACAAAGTTGACATGAATCAGTTAAGACCAAATCAATAGTGGAGGGATTTCTTGCAGAAGAAAAGCATGTTGGGCTGTTTGGATATTGAATAGTGTAATAACCTGCAGAACAATCATCAAACAGAATATTACCATTGGAATTGCTTTGAGCATTATTCCATGAGCGGTGTTTTGCATTAAAATCACCAATAATGAAGAATTTAGACCTATGACGGGTAAGTTTCTGGAGGTCACCCTTGAGAAAATTCTTTTGCTGGCCTACGCATTGGAATGGCAAATAGGCAGCTATAAACGTAAGTTGTCCAAATTTTGTTTCAACAGAAACCCCCAAAGTTTCAAAAACTTTGGTTTCAAATGAAGAAAGAATTTTATGTTTGATTTGTCTATGAATAATGATGGCAACGCCACCACAGGGTCCATCAAGACGATCATTTCTATAAATCAAGTAGTTTGCGTCCTTCTTAACCTTATGGGCAGGTTTAAGGAACGTTTCAGTTATAACGGCAATATGCACGTTATGAACTCTTAAAAAGTTAAATAGCTCGTCTTCATTATCTTTAAGAGATCGAGCATTCCAATTTACAATATTTAATGCTTTAAAATCCATTACTGAATTTTAAAGTCATGACAATATTATTTGCAAATTTTACTCCAGTTTGAATAGCATCAAACATGGAGTTAGATTTAAGCATATCAGAAATCATGTCAATTAATGAATTCTGTAAAAATTCCATTTTGGGGGCAGTAATGCTTCCTAAGTCAAAATTGTCAAAATTTCCGTTAGAACGTTGGTTAGTATTTTGATTTCTACCCGCTGCAATAGCAGCATAGGTAGCTCCATTAACTCGCTGAACATTGTTAGCAGCGAGGGGAGTAGGTACAGATGAAACATTTGAAGCAGGGGAGATATTTGTACCTACGGGTACGAATGTAGAATTTGTTCCTCGCTGACCGTTGTTAACAGCAGAGGAATTTGTACCTGGTCGGAAACGTGGAGCGTTTCCTACCTGACGGTTAGAACGAGATTGTAGGATCGCTTTGCGAGTCTTACATTCCCAAAAATTGGATTTGTGGTTTTCACCACAATTTGAACATTTAAATTTCTTAGGATCTTCCTTCACAGGACAGTCGTCCTTTGCGTGAGAGGAATCACCACAATTCATGCATTTAGCTGGCATGTAGCAATTTTTAGTTCCGTGACCCCATCCCTGGCACTTACGGCACTGGGTGAGGTTTTGGAAATTTCCTCCAGTCTTCCTGAAGTGTTCCCACTTCACTCGGACATGGAGCATAAGGCTAGCTTTTTCTAAGGCCTTAAGGTTGTTTAGTTCACTAGACTTGAAGTGAACTAAATAAAAATCATTAGAAATCCCGTTGCGCGAATCGCCAGGACGGGATTTCATTTTCATTTTGATTACTTGGAGTGGCACAACTCCAAGTAATTTTGCCAGTTCATCTTTGATCTGATCCAGGGATTCACCACTGGGCAGTCCTTTCATGACAACCTTGAACACACGTTCAGTTTTGGTGTCGTAAGTAAAAAATTTGTGCTTCTTCTCAGTAAGATACTTGAGAAGACATTTAAATCCGTCCAAGGTTTCAGCCAATACACGGCATTCACCCCGACGTCCAATTTGTAGTGAAAACTTAACTTTCACGAAATTCAAAAGTTCCATGCGAAGAGCATGGAAATCGGTAGTGGTTATCACAATAGGGGGAATCTTTTCCTTCTTGGCATTAAGCCGGGAAAGTTTACTAGAATTTTTCTTGGATGATGGATCATTCTCATCATCCGTGAGCAAATCAAATTGATTACTCAAATTAATTTCATCAGAAGGGGGGTCAAGAGTTTGCCCCTTTCTTTTGCGTTTAGGCGCCATGGCGGCAGTAAATTTTTATCCAAATCGACTTCCAAGCAGATTACTATAAGAATCTGAAGGATCGAAGAGGAATTTTCCAAATCGATATCCAAGAAGGATTACCTCGGGTAGGGTCCAAACAAGGATCGAAGAGGAATAAGAGTTGAACAAGGTAGAAAATTTTTACAGGTTGAGCACTGAAAAGTGCTGTTAAAATTTGTTGTAGCTTTAGGTAGTAGTAACACTTCCTTCAGCAAAAAGCAAATAGATCCGCACGGCAAGGAGTCTAGTCTCAACTAATTTTCGCTTTGGACGGCGTTGTGAACAGGCAGTAGAAGCAGCAATAGCAGCAGTAGGAAAGTGGTGGCAGGTTAGGTAGTCCACTCTTCTACCTAAAAAGCAACAATGACTGGTCGTGGCAAAGGAGAAAAAGGTCTTGGTAAAGAAGGCGCCAAGCGTCATCGCAAGGTTCTTCGTGATAACCGCCATCCGTCGTCTGGTTCGCCGTGGCGGTGTCAAACGTAGCTCCAGTCTTATCTACGAGAAAGTGTTCCTGCAAAATGTGATCCGTGATGCTGTCACCTACTCTGAACACGCCAAGCGTAAGTGGCCATGGATGTCGTCTGCGCTTTGAAGGGAAAGACAAACTCTGTACGATTTCAGAGGTTAAATCATCACCAGCTTTGGCAACAATACGGCCCTTTTCAGGGCCAACAAGCTTATTACAGTCAAGAGTTGGAATAGAATATATGTATATATATGTGCCTGTTTGTCATATTCAGAACCACACGACCACACAAAATGCTCTCCAGAGTTGTTATCTTGTAACCAAACTTGAAATCAGGGGTGCAAGTGATTTCGATCGATTATCTTCATCTTTCGTTAATAACTCGTTAACTGTCCTTTGCTTTCAATGTATTGACATTGGCCAACTACTCTTGATGGGAGGAGTCTGTGTAGCTTAATGGTGTGTGCAAAATGAAAGGCAATCAAAATTTCATTTTGTGATTGTTTCCCAAACACAGACATCATATTGAAACACCATCGTGATTATGCATTGTAGCATTCTCTGTAAATATCTCCGCGATTATCGGAAGCGCGTGAGAGACCAGGAGGCAGGGAAACCTGCGAAACAGACGCGGACCGTTGCTGAACGCGTTCGAATGTGTCAAGCCAACAAGAAAGCGGTCAAAGGTAATCTTAATTTTTGGATTTATTCAATAACCGCCCAATTTCAAAAATTGAATAATGAATTGTTCATTTTGGAGTGAAGTTTCTAAATCATTTATTTTGTTATTAATATATAAGTGAATGGAGCATCAAAAACAATCGCTTAGTTCTACGTCGACAATGCGGTCGTGCTTTGGACAAAACCCTTAACTTTTTTTTCCGTCCTTGACTACAAATACACAATCTCAAAAGTCATAAGTGCAGGGTTGCCAAACTCATGGGTTACTGAGAATGATACCTTAATTGCCACACTTGGGCACGTTCGGCACTACGCTTGACCTAGCTTTTGGCACAGATAAAGTACTGAGCACAGATTGGGATGTGCAGAGTTGAACACCCCTTGACATTTGAAGTTTTGACACTTTTTTTTTAATTTCTGAAATGGTAATCCAGTTGCCTACAATTTTGTCTCAGACGTCATTTCGATTGGATGAGCCGTTTTCGTGCAATGGTTTATTGCAAAATATCAATTACGCTGTCGTGACTGGACCGAGGTTTCCAGCCTCAGTCACGGTTCCACGAATCTGCTGCTCCCTCTGTTGGTCCGCTAGTGCCGCTATCGCTTCTGCTGGTTATCCTTTGCTGGTCGCTCTTTCCGTAGTCCGTCATAAAAAAAGCCATCAACGAGCTTAGGTACTTCATATTTATACTTCTAGCTGTATCAAAATTCCCGAACCAATCAGAACCCGTTTACATACGGTCTATCACGCTTCACGTTTATTCGATTCTACTCATTTCTATTCCACACTAAATCTATCTACTACAGGTCTATTACGCTTCACACTCACTTGATTCTACTCATTTCTATTCCGAACTAACTCTATCTACTACATTCTTCCCCTCTCCTACTCTCCTTAATTAAGGATCGAGGGCAATCTATTAACCCTCTCGGGCATTGTATCAACCCTCTTGTGGGTATTTGTTCTACCCTCTCGGAGGAATTTCTTCTACCTTCTCAGGGGAATTTCTTCTACCTGCTCTGGGGAATTTCTTCTATCTTCTCGGAGGAATTTCTTCTACCTTCTCAGGGAAATTTCTTCTACCTGCTCAGGGGAATTTCATCTACCCGCTCGGGAGTACTTCTTCTACCCTCTCGGAGGAATTTCTTCTACCTTATCGGAGGATTTCTTCTACCTTCTCGAAGAAATTTGTTCTACTTTCTCGAGGGAATTTCATCTACCCTCTCGGGGGTATTTCTTCTAGCTTTTCAGGGGAATTTCATCTACTCTCTCGGGAGTACTTCTTCTACCCTCTCGGAGGAATTTTTTCTACCTTATCGGAGGATTTCTTCTACCTTCTCGGAGGAATTTCTTCTACCCTCTCGGGGGAATTTCATCTACCCTTTCGGGGTTATTTCTTCTACCCTCTTGGGGGAATTTCATTTACCCTCTGGGGGGTATTTTTTCTACCCTCTCGGAGGAATTTCTTCTACCCTCTCGGGGGAATTTGATCTACCCTCTCGGGGGAATTTCATCTACCCTCTCGGGGGTATTTCTTCTACCCTTTCGGGGGAATTTTATTTACCCTCTCGGGGGAATTTCTTCTACCTTATCGGAGGATTTCTTCTACCTTTTCGGAGGAATTTCTTCTACCTTCTCAGGGGAATTTCTTCTACCTTTTCGGAAGAATTTCTTCTACCTTCTCGGAGGAATTTCTTCTACCTTCTCGGAGGGATTTATTCTACCTTCTCGGAGAAATTTCTTCTACCTTCTCGGAGGAATTTCTTCTACCCTCTCGGGAGAATTTCATCTACCCTTTCAGGGAAATTTCAGCTGCCCTCTCAGGGAGCGCCAGTAGTATCCTCGCAAGAAATAAGATGGTTCTAACTTACCGAGTTGCGCCATTGTCGTGACTGGACCGAGGTTTCCAGCATCCGATGTAGGATCCGAACCGAGGTTTCCAGCCTCAGTCCCGGTTCCACGAATCTGCTGCTCCCTCTGTTGGTCCACTGGTGCCGCTATCCCTTCTACTGGTGGTCCTTTGCTGGTCGTCCGCTCTTTCCGCAGCCCGTCATAAGAATGCCGTCAACGAGCTTAAACTTCATATTTATACTTCTAGCTGTATCAAAATTCCCGAACCAATCAGAACCCGTTTACATACGGTCTATCACGCTTTACGCTTATTGGATTCTACTCATTTCTATTCCACAGTAAATTTATCTACTACAGGTGTATTACGCATCACGCTCACTTGATTCTACTCATTTCTATTCCGAACTAACTCTATCTACTACATACGCCATTTTGAAAAATTAGGCGTGATCCCCTAGCGAACAATTGAGCAAACTTTCATGGAATTCTGAGACGTAAAATTCAATTTGTTTTAATATTTTGAAAAATTCGGATTATCCGGAACATACTGTGCCCCATTGTTCTAGATGGCTGCAACATTTCAAGCACTTCTGAACACTATGCAAATGAAGTTCAGTTAAAATCATTAAGTAATTTGACATTCCTGTTACAATTCTCGCGCGACTATTCAAAAGGTCCTGAGTAACAAATGTAAACAAATCGAGTTAATCGATACAAACCATTCACGCTTAGATTATTTTACAGGAGTCAGGATTTTTAAATTGGGTTTATGAATTGCTGGAAAAGTCGGTAAGAGTTCAAATGACCGTTATCCGTAAGGAATCGATGAAATTGACCTATTTTATTGTCTATCATTGAATGGGGTCAACAGAACTAAATCTGCACAAGTTTGGGATGAAAATTATCATTATTGAATTTACTTTTACCGAACTGTTCCGCAATTCAAAACCCCCAGTAAAACCTTACTGACTGGATTAGTGTGTTGCTTTTCTACCTTTGTATGTGCTACAAAGGCACCCCTTCAATTTTACTTTAATTTACTTAAGATAATCAAAGGTCAAAAATTGTCCAATGTACAGTTTGAGATGATAGGTACTTGATTGTAACTTCGGACATTTGGACTTCCTAACATGATTGGTGCTCATTTCTGCCGGCGCGGCATGGAAAACCAATCTAGGGTTATATAAGTAAGGGTATCAGTCAGTTTTTTGGATCTTAGGTACTCTATTCTGAAATCTGTGAAAGGGAATTGTCATTGATTATGTCATTGAGAAAAATCATCCAATGTATCATGACTTGAGTAGTCAAAACGTCCTCTGTGTTTTTTTCTATTTTGTAGCATGAAATTCAAAGCTAAATAATTTTCAACGTTATTATTCACTGACTACGGTAAAAATAGTTTTGAAAAATGTATTGTTTCTAAACAATTAAAATAATAGTCTTTCGAACTTCAACATCGATTTTCATTGGACATTGGTCCTATTGAAAAATTACGCGAGATTTAAAGAAAGAAAATTTACTTTTTTGCAGATTTCCGGTGGCCACAAGAATTCAATCTTCTTCTTCTTCTTCTTCGCATTTCAAGCTTATTGCATATCGCATATTAGCTTATTGCGTGCTCTCAACTTAGTGTTCTAGATGCACTTCCACAGTTATTAATTAATTATATGATTTCAGTAGTAGCTATACTGAAGATCCGAGAGATGTCGCCCCTTCAGTGGTAGGTAAATCATTTTTGCAGTATGGAGAATATCAGAAAATCCACGATTTGTGACTAAACATGCTTTTACAGAAGGAAACAAATAAACGGATGTTTACCTTATCACCATAGTAATGTACTCGTGCAATTTTTGTGCATCTAAAACTGCCCATAAAGACGATAATGAATAAAAACTGAAAATTTCCTTGCATTTCCAAATGGTTTCCTACCATTCCCATACATTCGAAGTGACTGGCCCTCTGGATGTGGATGATGTCAAAAACAACAAAACATGATTAATTGAGAGCTTTCGATGCCTGTACCATTTTTGCATTGGTATAATTGTGTGGCAAGTCCAATCATACTCCTATGCCCAGGGAAGTCGAGAAATTTTCCAACCCGAAAAATTCCTAGACCGGACCGGGAATCAAACCCAGCCACCTCCAGCATGGTCTTGCTTTGTAGCTGCGCCTTTACCTAAGGGAGGCAATCTGGACTCAGATCAAATAAGAGTAGATTAGAATAGCCTTCATTTGCAACTAGTCGCATCAAGTTTAGTTAAGGTGATTCCTTGTAGAGTCCACAAATGAACGTCACGTACGCTACACATGCACTTCCACCATCGACAAACCGACATGAATGATCATACAAATTACAAAGAAATTTCATATCAAAGCGCAAAACTGACAACTGACGCGGAAAATATTTATCCTAGCAACGAACACGCGTACAAAATTTATGAGTTGGCTCGTGTCTAATCTATTTTGGACAAATTATTTTTATCTAGATGAAACATTTCTATGGTTTAGACTGATGGGATCGCTGCACATTTGAATCGGCCGTTATGGATTCTCAATCAAGAGTTAAGTTTAAGTTTCATGTCGGTTTGTCGGTGCTTCCACTTCAAATTTTCAATTACACAAATCTTGGAAATCGGTGCCCCACTTCACCTGAAGTTGCAACTTCATGTATGGCTGCAGTGCAGTAAACGTGGAGTAACAATTTGAATGTTGCACGTGTCGCAGGACTTGAAATTTGTGCTCTTAAAGTTTCGAAGTGGTTCCGGTAATAAGTATGTCACAGCGATTCACCTTAAGAATTGGAGTTTTGACAGGCAAAACAAAACAAATGCCACCTGTGCAGTCTTGTAAGCGGTCACGGTAGTCGACACAATTTCTTTGATAATCGACTGCTCTTGCCTCCGACACTTGCAAAAAGAGCTATCATAGTACAGTACCAAACTCAAATGTCATACGACAGGCTCTGTCATATCACACTGTCGCTCATTACATCGCTGATGTTGTGCTTGTGTGAATTCTGAAAATAGCAAGCAAAGCTGTCCTAGGAATAAAATTTCTGATCAGAAATGTTTTAATTTACACCAAATTGAGCAATTAGAACGAAATCACTCATGTCATATGATAGTTATTTGATTTTTTTTTTTGCTTGAATGTTATTCTACCAGTTGTTTTGTGTGAGAGAGACGACGGTAGAGCATAAGTATACGAATAAAAACAGACTGTCGGGCTCGACAACGAAGCGAGTGTAATAAAAAACGTCAACTGTTTCAACCCCAGCACCTGTGACTGTGATAATTTTTAGCATGTTTTTAAAGTACCTGTGAATATTGAGTTACGTTAGCAGTCTGTTGGTACTTTAGAATTCTGAATTGCCCTAGAATTCAGAATTTTAGGGTGATTCTGAAAATAGTTTACAGTGAAGTGTGAGGCGAATTCCTTGTGAAACCAAAGGAGAATTTCATGTTACTTCTGATTAGAGTTCCATATATCAACGTGGTCGTGCGGCGTCACCCAACGTTCATGCGTATTGTGAGGACCACAAAGTGAGGGTTTTTTTTTTAACTCTTTATTTGTTCCAAATTCAAACTAAATTACATTTCATTTTTAACCTAGGTGCTCCAGTTACTGCAGTAACGTACCAGCCTTAATTGTTATGATATATATCTAAGTGGTTTTTACATTGTTCATGTCTTGGCAATTCAGTATTTTAAACAGGTTTTTTTTAAAACCTGCCTGTCAGTATAACAATTGATATCTTAAAACTAAAAACTAAAACTATAACTAGTATAAAGGGAAATTATTAATTATTTTGTTGGACATTTGTGCTAAAGTCTCAACATTCGAAATTCTATGTACTTCGGTTGTACTGTACCAGGGAGGCAACTTCAAAATCATTTTCAGAATTTTGTTCTGAATCCTTTGAAGTGCTTTTTTCCTGGTAGTGCAACAACAAGACCATATTGGCACAGCGTAAAGCATGGCCGGTCTAAAAACTTGTTTAAATATTAGAAGTTTATTCGTCAGGCAAAGTTTGGATTTCCTGTTTATAAGAGGATACAAACATTTTATATATTTGTTACATTTGGCTTGAATGCCCTCAATGTGATCTTTAAAAGTTAATTTTTGGTCAAGAACTAATCCAAGATATTTCACTTGGTTTGACCAGGAAATTGGATCTCCGTTCATAGTGACTATGTGACTACTACTAGGTTTCAAAAAGGAAGCTCTGGGCTTATGTGGAAATATTATAAGTTGAGTTTTGGAAGCGTTGGGAGAAATCTTCCATTTTTGTAAATAAGAAGAGAAAATATCTAAACTTTTCTGCAGTCTGCTGCAAATAACACGAAGACTTCTTCCTTTAGCGGAAATGCCTGTGTCATCAGCGAACAAAGATTTGTGGCAACCCTGAGGCAAATCAGGGAGGTCCGAAGTGAAAATGTTATACAATATAGGCCCAAGAATGCTACCCTGAAGAACTCCTGCTCTAACAGCTAGTCGATTAGATTTGGAATTTTGATAATTTACCTGCAGAGTTCTGTCAGTTAAATAATTTTGAACTAATTTCATAATATAAAGTGGAAAATTAAACTTTTTCAATTTAGCAATCAAACCTTCATGCCAAACACTGTCGAATGCTTTTTCTATGTCTAGAAGAGCAACTCCAGTTGAGTGGCCTTCCGATTTGTTTGAACGAATTAAATTGGTAACTCTTAAGAGTTGATGAGTAGTTGAATGCCCATGGCGAAATCCAAACTGCTCATCTGCAAAAATTGAGTTCGTATTGATGTGAAGCATCATTCTATTCAAAATTATCTTTTCAAAAAGTTTACTTATTGAACAAAGCAAACTTATTGGGCGGTAGCTAGAAGCTTCAGCTGGATTTTTATCCGGCTTCAAAATTGGAACAACTTTTGCATTTTTCCATTTATCAGGAAAGTATGCCAAATCGAAACATCTGTTAAATAATTTTACCAAGAAAGACAAGGAGCTCTCTGGGAGTTTTTTGATGAGGATATAGAAAATTCTATCATCACCTGGAGCTTTCATATTTTGAAACTGTTTA